TCACCGTGTTTAAAGACAAAGAAATTCGTGTTTCGCGGAAACGTTGGCGCGTGGTGATTCGAATAGGTGCGACCAACGAGCCATCACGCGAAATTATACGTGTTTCCCCGTATTTTAATCCCGATAATTACATTCTTTCACCGGTGATTTCGCCTTTTTTTCGGTCCTCCGTTAATAACGTAATAATTCGTTTAAAGAAAGTTGAATTTCTAATGTACCAGAGAAGCGTAAAAAAAAAAAAAAAAATAAATTACAAGATTACTTTAAATCATGACAATCTACGTCTCATTAGTCGGCCTCACTTTTTTTCGATACTAACTAATTCGATCAAACATTCCCCTCTTTTATTGTCTCTTTATCGACATATTTATCAAAAATATCGATCATCATTTATCATCCAATAATAATCCCTCGTCGGTGACTATATCGATACACTTTTCGTTATTTATAACCGAAAGAAGAGTAGCAGGCGAAAAAGAAAAAGAAGATGCGCTCATGTATGCGCTCATTGAAATCTCTCCATCTATGTTTCGTATGCGTTTCATTCTCGCCAGATGACCGTTGTCTCTGGACAATTGCCCCTGGCCTCGACCCCCGATCATTACGAATTTCTGGTTTCGTCGTTTAGGCGGCCGTTTACCGACCGAGAGAGGGAAAGGATGGAACGATGACGGAATCATCTTAAGCGGCAAATTACACGTATGCTAAGTGGGCACGATTCAAATTATTATTATCGTCATCATGCCCCGGCCCCAAAGGACTCGCTCTTCCGAGAATGATCGCACACGCTTCTTTTCGTTTCTTTCGCTGTTTTTTTTTCCATATCCCTCCCTTCTCTCGTTTTCCTTTCCTCATTTGAATGCGATCTTCCCTGACAGAGGTGCGCACACCTCTCCTTTTCGTTCCTCGACGCAGCGCGACGAGAAGAAGAAAGAAGGTGTCTCGATCGAAAATAAAATAATCGTGCGTGATAAACTCTCCAAACTCTTTGACAACTCCTCATTCTCTTCGATTGAGCGATAATTAAGAAAGGATAATAGGAGAAATGAAATTGGAAATTCGAACGGAAGAGGAAAAATTGCCTCGAACAGCGCAAGCTTCTTATAAATTCTCGAAATGTAAAACGTTCGTAAAAAAAAGCGAGATGGAGAACCACTGGAAGAAATGATAGAGTATACGCACAAAGCAATCCCTGCAGTCGAGGAGCCGTTCCCGTGATACGTTATTAATTTGAATACCCGATGAATTATTTAACGGTGCGATTAGCCTAATGCATCGCGACTCCTCTTCCATTAAAACGCAGTGAGACGTACTCATGTCGAGGAATCATCCGCGTTCCGTGATTTCCCTCACGGTATCCTTCAATTCCCTCCTCCTCCTCCTCTCTCCTTTGATTCTTTTAATCGAGAGACTTTTATCGGCGGAACGAATCATCTTCCCGAAACTGCTCGATTATTATTATTATTATTACATATCGAAACGTTTTCGATAATTCGATAATTTGCCGGCACGTGCCAATTACTCACCTCTATTATCCTCTCTCTTAGAATTTCCTTGTTTTCGATCTTATTTTTTTTTTTCTTCCTATCTCTTGTCCCTTTAATAAGATAATTTATGGGCGACGATTTCTTAAATTCTTAAATTCCTCGTTTCGAGGCGCATTAGGTAGCCACCAGTTGTTATAACCTTTTCACTTTCTCTCTATCATCTTTATATCTTATTTCGTACGACGTAATTATCGAAATTTGTGGGCTAGGCGAAACGAAAAAAGGTGCGGCCTCTCTCGAGTGTTCCAAAAAATTATAGAGATAAAATCGTGGCGAAAATAAGTAAAATAGGATAAGAAGATGAGTTTGAAAAACTTTGTTTCGCATTTTTTCTTTCCTTTCCTTTTTCTTCCTCTTCCTCGATGGTTAGGTTGTCTTCGAATCGCACAGCCCGGGGTGGCAGCAGTGTCTCTCCCGTCTCTTACGTCCAAAAAACGTAACATTACTGGCGGAACGAAGCCAGCTCGGGGGGCATTCCTCGAGTCTGTGCAACGTGGAGGATGCGCGGATCCTCCAGCCAGAGGGTAGGAATCGTAGGTGGTGGTGGTGGAACAACAGAAGGGAAACGGACCCGCGCATCCATTGGCGCCCCATCAATTAGGGTGCCTTGGCCCGCGGTCACGATTTCCAAGGATATTTGCGAACCGGCACAGAGACCGAGTTCGACGAATCTCTAAACAGTTTTATGGCTGGGTCTCTTTCTCTCTGAAGCGAGAACGTTTTTTTAACCCTTTGCTCTCCAACTCTCCGTCACCACTGGGACTGTTGCGGCAACTTGAACAGCGACAATTTATTTAAGCTTGATTTTTTTAGAGTATCGCTTCGTAAATATTTCTAAGCTCTTTACGTATAATCTTATGAGATGTAATCTTATCTTATGAGTAATTATCTTATGGTAATCTTATGAAGCTATCGAATGCGCGGGTCTGGAGTTGCTGGTTCGATCGAGCGAAACAGGCCTGGAGTGCAAAGAGTTAACCCCAACTGGCCATTTTTCAACACTTATTCGTGTTACTTAAAGTGCGTTTGTCGCTTGGACAAGAGAGATCTTAGGAATCGTTATAAGAATTCTTTCCAATTTTCCCTAAGGATATAGAATGGGCGTCGAAAAATCCTCTGTCCATTTGAAATTTCATAAACTGGAGCGGCACCGGTTCCATGGAATTCCGTGGCATAATTATGGCGAACTCATTGTGGGCCCACAAAGCGTAAAGCGCGCGGGTGGAAGATTGCATGATTGCCCGGTTATTATGGGAAATTTTCGAAAAATCGGCGATCCAGGTATACTCTCTACTCGAGAGGGAGGTTAATTCTCCGTCTATATATATTAAAAATCATGGATCAAATTAACTTGCTCGATTGCTTCGATCGCGTCGATCGAAGAATTAATTCGCTACGGATGTATTTTTTTTTAAGATCCATTTTTAAAGTCACGCATTTATTAACGCAGTCGATGATAAAAAATAACATGGTTTAATAACGTAAATTTTATTGTTTAAATTAGACGTGACAGTATTATGTCGTATCTACAGGAAAAGTACAAAGTTATAAGTTATGCTATATGTATATCATATGTATATATATTTATATTATAATACGGTAATTATCGTACGAGATAGCGAAGAGATTTTTCCTTTACTTCAGCGTTTTTTTTACGAGAATTCGACGGGGTGAAGGATTATATTTAGAATCGTCGAATTGCCTTGATTCTTAATATCTGAAATCGGTAAGGGCAGAGAGAAAGAGAGAGAGGATTGACAGAAACGGATGAGGAAGAGGAGGAGGAGGAGGAGGAGGAGGAGGATGCGAAAAATATAAAAATAAGTGTGTGAATCGCCGAAAGCAGTCACGACAGAAGGCACGACAAATTGCTACACGAAAGCAGATGCTCGCGGACATTCTCGTTTTCGTTTTCTTTTACATCCTCACCGATCATCTCGATCACGATCGATCGCGAGGAATAACACGTTCTTACTCATTTCGGATGAAACGAAACGATTCGATTCGATTCGATTCGATTCGATCTTAAGGCAGCATCGTGCATACGGGAACGAAACCACTTCTGCCATCGCTCAAATCATTCGATCACGCTTTCTTCCCTTCGACCGTTCGCGCAATCAGATCGATCAAACGTCTTGGCGTCTCCGTGCGTTTTATTATCGTTTTTATCATCGCTGTTTCTCACAATTCGGTTTCTCTTCCATCATCTCTCTTCGTATCGTATCGGGGCGTATACGTGTGTGCATAGAAAGAGGCTTTTAACTGGTGCTTGGATTCGATGCGAATGAACGGATGACGAACGATACTCGTCGTCGTCGATGTTCGTCTCGAGGATGGAGAACAAAAGGAGAGAGAGAGACCACGATTAACGCTTGCTCCGATCGTGCGAATAGCTCGAAGAAATCGTGCGTTTATGTATGTACAAGGAAAAAATGCGATTCGTTCGCTCGCCTATCTATCGAGCGGCGCGACACTTTCTCCCCCTTTCCCCTTTATTTTCCAGGGATTTCTCACACACAGCTTTGGCGATTGCGACAAACGACGACGTGAACCTATGTAACACCCTTTCCTCGTGGTGCGAACGTCACGCTTGGTCACGCGTTAGTCGCTTTGTTTTCGCGACGTTTCCGAAACGTCGACGAGCCTTCCCTTCCCTTCCCTTATATTTCTTCGACGCTCCTAGAGAGAATCTCGTCTTATCCTCTTGGTAAAAAATAGCGATTAATAATGAGCGTACGTATATGTTGTTCCTCTTAATATGAGATAGGTATTTATATATTATAATATGCGTAATATGCGAATATTTGGCGTAACTTCGGGGGATCGATAAGACAGGGACGACGATTTGGTGGGAAGAAACGCTTCAAAACGATTTAAATTAGAGAGAAAAAAAAAAAAAAAAGAGAAAAAGAGAAAAATCCTTAAATAAGAAAAAAAGAAAAACGATAATTGTTACGACTAATACAGCAAATGAGAGAAGATGAAATAGAAAAAAAAGGAAAGAAAAAAAACATACACATACACATACACACATCACACACAAGCGGATAGAATCGAAATGGGTAAGTAAAATTTACAAGTATTTTTTTTCACGAATAATTCTAAAAAAAAAAAAAAAAATATTTGCAACGTAAAGTAATAAAGTAAAAGGAAGAGAGCATTCAGAATCTAAAAGTTACAAAGGGTGTGATTACGTTATTATCGGGAATATTTTTTTTTTTTTTTTTTTGCTTTTGTTTCCCGTGATTATCGTGTTTTAACTCTATGCTAAATGTACAGTGAGTAAGAAAAAGTTATTCACAACGACTACAATTAAAACATTATACAATTATATTTATCGATATTTGTAAAGAAAAATTCTTCTTACATATATTTTCCAAGATGTTGTTGCAAAACAAATTGAATAAATATCCGTGTATTACCGTGCATTCAATTTATCGATAATTTCGTAAATGTAACGAAAAAAAAAAAAAAAACAAAAAAACAAATATCGATTTGGAAGAAATATTTTTACATATTTCTTTTTAAACACTTCAAAAGAAATATAACTGTATAAACCGTTTTAATTGTAATTAATCGATGCGCGAATACTTTTCATACTTACCGAAGGTACACCGGGACAAAACACGTGATCGCGAAAAGAAATTCTATACAAAAAAAAAAAAAAAAAAAAAACAGATAGAAGACAAATGCTACGCGGTATAATAATCGATAAAGAAATACGCTCACGATAGTTTTCACGCTCTCGAAAATAGTTTTCGAAATAAAAAAAACTAGGATGTCTCTCGTTCTCGTATACGATGTAATACATATACGTCTCACCATCGTGACTCGTGAATACTTGCAATGACGAAGTTTCCTTGTCGGTTCTTCCGCAGTCTTATGATTCCTACTCAGACGATGACTCGTCGTCGATAAATGGTTATAACGCCTAGAACGCTCGATACTACATCGTCTCTACGCGAAAATGCACTTTCACTCCTTCTCATCCGAGGCTCTCGAAGCGTGTAACGTTTACTTAATAACACCGTTAACAATGTTCCTTAGCGCGGTTTTAATTGTTTCTCACACGCGCGGCATTTTTGATTCAACGTGTTTCAGGAAACTTTAATTGGTCATGGTTGAATTATGCGTGAACACGTGAAAAAAAAAAAAAACTTTTCTTCCTGATTTAATACGCCTCGCTCGATACGATTCACGATCGTTCGTTCCCCCGGTATCCGGTTTAACGATTCTTTCTCGTCCGGGTTTCTCTCTCGGATTAAAAAGACAGGAAAAAAAGAAAGAAAGAAAGAAAGAAAGAAAGAAAGAAAGAAAGAAAGAAAGAAAGATTCACAAATTCGCTTCGTTCCATTTGTCAAAATTATATTACGATACATTATCGATTGTTACGAGGGAGAAAAAAGGACGAACGATCGTGATCGATACGTGTGTAACAAGTGCGATTGTTCCTCAAAAAAAAAGTGTTTACGAATAAGAAACAAACGCGTGTCATCGACGTTTGTCCGTCTAAACAGGTGGCAGAGCCCACAGTGTTGCCGTCTTGTCAGCGGAAGTACTGAGGAACGAGAATTCCGTTGGATGCCATCGTCCGGATATCACTTTGTCCTGATGTTGCGCGACGACCACGCTTGGTAACGGCATCGTTAAATCACCTACGAAATATTTTAACAAATAACAAATTTAATAAATTTTTTTAACAAATTTCGAGTACATATACTTTTTAATTAAAAACAGATAAGAGAAAATCATCGAGAATAAAGTATAAGTAAAAAAAAAAAAAAAAAAAATTTACCTTGCAGATCGGTTAGAACGAGCTTGTTATCATAACCGCCGGTGAGCAAGTAGTAAGCTGAAGGGGAGAAACGTATGCTTCGTATGTCAGCGGCGTGAGGCTTGAAGCATTGCACGGTTCTACCGCCTCGAATGTCGAAGAGGACGCAGCTGCTGTCCTCGTGGCCGGATACCAGAAGACGTCCCGATGGATCGACGCAGAGCGCCGCTACCGGACTTCCGACCTGCAACGGGATCAAATGCTGATCAGACACGCGATACTGATTCCGTTCCATCCTCTTTTTCGTGTACGTCCGATAAAAATTCGATCCTTGGATGAAAGTAGATAGATGCGAACTAGAAAGAGAGGGGGAAAGACGTGTAGAAAAATGTGACGTTCGATGTGAGGGCGATGGTGCGATTCAAAAAACGTGGGTCGAAAATTTTATCGGACGCAGAACTGAAAAACGAAACTTAAACAACGAAAAAAGTCGATGTCGTCGTCGATACATGCTGGATTATGAATTACAGAAACCCTTTCCGCATCGATTTATTTTATTTCGTTTATCGATCTTATTTACTTTATATTATATATACATATATTTTTTAATCGTGTATATACACATTGGATTGGAAAGAATTCCTCCAATCGGGGCTAATGACAGGACAGAAACGCTAACTGAGTATATCTGAAGAAACACTAGTCGATGGATCTGAAGTCAAGTCGAGAAACGAAGAGCGATCGATAAATAGATCTTGGAATATTTTTTCACAGAATCAGAAATCAAAAGCTTTTTGAATTGCGCTCTCCGACACTTGGATCCTTCAGAGGTTTTGGATTCTAAAAAAAAAAAGGAAGACATGACCTGCTTTAAAATGGAACTGAACTAACCCTGCTGCCAGGTACCGTCGCAGGCGTCACCATGTTCACGCACCCCCTCGTTCTAAGATCCCAAAATCTGACCGTTTTATCCTGCGATCCGCTCACGAACATAGCGCCTCCCCAATTGTACAGGGTGAGCACGTGTCCGCTGTGACCGCTCAACGCCTGGAATGGGGTTCCGGTGGCGCAATCGGTGACGTAGATCTTGCAATCACCGGCACCGCCGCTGATCAACAAACTCGACTTGTTCGAGGTATCCTCCAGGAAGCACAGATCGCGAACCGTGCCGTCGTGCATCGTAAGCTCCACTTCTTGACCTGAAACGGAATCGTGTGTCAAAGGAAGATGGTTTTTCTCTTTTTCTTCTTTTTTTTTTTTTTNTTTTTTTTTTTTTCTTTTTTCCAAGAGTTACGTTACACGCAAGAATTATAGTAGAGAGGCGGAATGACAAGTAGGAAGTTGAAAGTAAATGACGGCCATTTTGAGAGCAAGTATCGATACGATGAAATTGAACTCGTCGTTGTTAGTGGGACAGTGGGTGAAAAATGTTGGAAGAGAAAGAAGGATGTGAAATATTTTGACTTGACGGTGGTTTCAATCTCTCCGGATAGAGAGAATTACCTTCGAGATTTGACGTGTCGGCGTTGAAGCGCATCAATTTGACAGTTTTGTCGTTGCTTCCAGTCGCCATCAACTGGCCATCCGGGGTCCACGCGAGGCAATATATCGAGCCCTTGTGGTGCTTCGTTCTCTTGAAGAGAACTGTGGGCTGATACGTCTGGTGATCCTCCCTGAAACGAAAACACCGAATTTATCCATCATTTTATTTCTTTCGTTCGTTTGTTTCTCGATCGAGCGATCGTAACACGCTTGTTCCATTTCACCGCTCAAGTATCACCGGCAAAACAACTAAATAAATCACGCGGATTGCGAATTGCGTTTCACTCTTGTTCGTCCGCAGCTTTCCATTTCGACGCTAGAAAATTTAAAGCGTCGTCGATATCGATCGTTAAATTCGAAAAAAAAAAAAAATATCTCTGAAAAAAAAGAAAGAAACGGCTCGGCAGAGAATGTATATTTAAATTATTTTGTCGCCAATTACTAGGAGAAAATTTTATTCTATTTATCCTTATTGACCCACAAAATTAAAACGACAGAAAGAAGAAACTCGAACGATGGACAAACGATCCAACTCGCGAGAAAAGAGTGGCGCCCTCCCTAGTTCTCATGCGTCACTTTCCTTCAACCTCGTTTCCTTTCTTCGTTCCCATCCGACACGATTGCGCATCAAGCGTCCTTAATTGAACGATGCAAGCATCCATCCGCCGAGATCGCGGCAACGTTTCGGCCGTGGAAACGAGGGAGAGAGGGAGATCGTCGATCGTCGATACGATTGTCGAAACAGGAGCAAACAACAGCAGCTTTCACACCACCACCCTCCTCCTTCCCCCCCCCCCCTCCCCTCTTTTCGCGATTTTAATTAACTCGTTGCAAGTTTTCTCTCAACGCGATATCGCCGATTATTTTACTCGAGGTTGTTGGCCCTGTTCAAAATCGATCTCGATCCCCTCGACTCCTCCCCCGTTCCTCGTTCCTCCCCTGGCACAGATATCTTTCTTCACTTTCTTCTTCCGTGGAAGAAGATCGCGTGTTCGAAATTATCGGCGGGGCGCTCAACAACGATCTCGGCCTCGAGAGGATTGGAGGGCGATCGGGAGGGGGGATTTTCAATCGGTCCATTAGAATCGTAACGCGTGTTACTTTCTCCAAAGATTGGAGAGCCACGTCGAGGGAAACTGTTGGCTCGGTCGAAGGCGTTCACGGTGAATCCGGCGGACTGATGGAGCAACATGCAAAATTGCGGCCTATCTCCGGTGAAACTGCAATTATGATAAACTGGAATGGCTGGGTGGATGTTTTGCAACTTGTTCTTCGAGGAGGAGCGTTTTAACACACGACGGAGGATTTTGTTCTTTTTTTTTTTTTCAATTCTCTTTTCTGAAAGTGTTTTCGTATTTTTAAGCGAAAGAGGAAAGCATGATCTACTTTTTACAACAATTTTAATAACAAAAGCAAAAACTTATGAAAGGGAAAAGATGACAAGTTGAAGCGAGAAGTAAAATTTCTAATGAAAGTTAATTACAGTTTCAATTTCTTCTTTAAATAAGAGAAAATAACGGTTAATAATCTTTTTTTAATTGTTAAATTTTTAAACTATATTCCTACACCGATTTCATACATAAGTGAAATTTGGATGGAAAAATTTAAATTTAAATTCACCTGATTCCGAAAGAAAAAATAAAAAACAAAAAGTTATTATTTTGACTAGAACTAGAAGAGTTTCTAGTTCTTTTCGCTCTTTTCCTATATCTTCGAAAAAAATGGGATCGATGGCGAGAAACCGCATCAAATTGGCTGTTTTTGTGATAAACGCTTCGCGACAAACGAGGAGATCTTGCTCTTTTCCCTTATCGATCAACCGCTGTCGCGACACCTCGAGTTTATCACGTTCCAATTTACACCGAGGGAGAAACAGTGTGCGTGAAACGGTTGCGGATAAGAGTCGAGTGAGCAGCGCGGAAAAACACGAATACCTTGACGAATGAAACGATAGATTTCTCACTGACACTTTTTTCTTCTTTTTCCTTCTTTTTTCTCATTATAATTTGCACGGATGGAAAAATTTCTAGTGGACATTCTGTTAAGATTATAGAGATGGAAGAAAGCGGCTGAGTAATCGAGGAATTTGTGTTTCGAGGAAAGTTCCGGGGTAGATCGAAATGGTTCGACAGGCGACGTCGAGGAAAAGAGTAATCGAGAAAGGCACGCTTTATCCGAGTATTTAAGACATTTATTTATTTAAAATACATAATATTTTTTAACGGAAGGAATAAGGAAGAAATTTTATAATTTGTTACTAGTTTATAAAGAGTTTATAAAGAAAGATTGTATCTATATTAACACGGAAAAATTATTTTAATTAAAATTGAGAGCACATATTGATCGTATATTACGTTACTAAAATTCGAAATATTAAAATCGATAATCTAAATGATTATATTACGGATAGATGATAATTGAGCGATCAGACGACTTTCTAACGACCAATTTTTCCTTGTCTTCGATGTCTGCTCGTAAAAAACCTAGCATTACTTGTTGTAAAAAAAGATTTCCTTCGCAATTCTATCGCGAGTTTGAAATTAAACTGTCGCGAACAACCATCACCCCGGATTACTCGTGGAAAAACGTAGAATTACAGGAAAGAAAGGTTTTTTTTAAACGAGACTCGCGTGTTCTTCCATTCCATCGCAAGAGTTTTATACAAGTTGCGTAGAACAAGAAGTATTCTTTCTTAATTTACATTCGTTCCGTTCGTCTAACTTTGCCCCGTACTACTCTAACGCTTTGTACTTTCACCTCGTTGTAAATATTAATCTTAACGCATAACGTAACACCTAACGCTCACTGGTGGCGTCGTTTCGTTTTTTAGCGGGTGTAAACTTTGTGAGAATTACCCTAACGACTATCATCTCTCGAGATGATCTAAAGAGTCACGACTTCTTTACGACCCCATGTTGAAATATAGAGGTATTTCACTTCGCTTTCATCATCACGATTCTTCGTTTGAGAATAGTTTTAAGCGGGAATATATGGAAGTTATTAACACACCAATGATGTAAATTTATACGAATATAAATTTATAAGTTCAATATCGGATACAATATCAGTGTTAAAAATTATCCATCTATGGAATCGAAGAAGAATTGTAACGAATTGTACGGAAAGTTGTTGATCTTAAAATGAATTTTGATATTAAAAGAGTAGAAATAGAACGAAGAATATTTAAAAATCAAAAAAAGAAAAAAACAGAACTAATTCTAAACTTTCATTTCAACTGGAATAGAAAATTTGACGAGATAAGTAAAACTAATATAGCGAGCAACGCTTTTATCTCTAATCCAATCTGCTGTTATACGTTTATTATACGAATAAAATAAATAGAACGTTTTTCTTTTAACGATTCGTTCGAGAAAACTAATTTATTTCGTCATTTCCATTACTCTTAATCTATATTAAAAGAATCAAGATATTTTCTAATTTTTTTCAAATTGCGAAACAAACAGTATCGCGATCCGTGGATAGAATATTGAAATTAAAAAAAAAAAAAAAAAAAAAAAGAAAAAATAATTTCAATTAAATATAATTGTATCAATTACAGAACTAAGAATCCGAGAGATGATTATTATTTACAATGCTATAACGATGATTTCACGGTTCTGGTTAAGAATCTTAAATGAAATTCGTTCAGAGGTTCAAGCGAAGGGAACGGGATGGATGGAAGTGGAAGGAGGGGGAAGAATAAGAGAAAGAGAGATCGAATCGCGATTGCGGACAATAAGAGAATCTCGCGCGAAGGAATGGAGGAATGCTCCGTTTGGTATGAAGGCCTTCGTCGTTCGTTAAGCCAGCACGCTTGCGTAAAATTAGTCCGCTCGAATTTAAACCTCGCCTCAAAGATGACGACGATCGAAACACGCTTGTAAATAGCACGCGAATGATACCACGTCGATTTCTATTTTCTTCTTTTGCAACAACAAGAATCGCGTATCTCTTCTCCCGATGTAAAATGCATATATACGTATATGTGCGTCACTGTAAGTATTGTATTCAGTCATGCAAAGAAATATAATTCAAATTACTGCTAGTAAAACAGCAAAATGGAATGAGTGTACGTCGTAAATTCCTGCTACTCGGTAATAAAGAATAAGAATATATACGATATAAATATAAAATAAAATAAATCGTGTATAATAGAAACTTTAATCTTGTAAATCGTCGATATAAATTTCGAAAAGATTTCTCTTCGCCTCGTTTCGATCATCCATATACGAATCCAATTTGATTGAATTTCAGAAAAAGATGGAAAAAAAAAAAAAAACACTCTGCGATTCTATGCGTTTACATTTTACAATTTTCTCAAAATTGCTTTCTGGATTAATATAAATATACGCGTTCGTAGAGATGAACGATTTCAATAAATATATAGAAGACCAAGAATGTCGATCGTTAATTCGTCGAACCTAATAAATAATCTCGAATAAATAGAAAGAGAAACGAAGTAAGCGTACGTTTAAAAAGAGATTAAGTTGAACGGCAACAACAGTGAAAATCGTGCGATGAAGATGAATCGATTAAATTAAAGAAAGAAGTAAGATCGTCGATCATCGATTCGCCAGATCAAAGTAAAATCTTCTTCTTACCTGACATCGTGAAGCTTTGGATAGGAGCATATTCTCAGCGTCTTCGAGTTCGATCCCACAGCGTACAATTTTCCATGGGGGTGGAATTCCGCGCATCGTACAGCTTGGACATCCTCGAGCGCCGTCACAGGGACGAATCTTGGCCTTCCACCGTTGCTGCTTCCGTTGCTGGCATCGAGTTCCGGCCTCGGTTCTTGCTGCGAACGAGATCGAAATCGAATTCAATTTGTGAATCGCGTTTTCTCTCCCGTTTGTCTGCAATTTGCGACGCAAGGGAAAAGGATCAAGACGCGCCGAATTTTGCCGATTCGATACAAATAATAATAATAATGATGATGCTAAAGAACGTTATATAAAGAGATTTCAAAAAATTAATAATTATAGATATCTATATTCAAGATAAAACATTAAACGTACTAGTACTCAAAAATTTCAACCGGTTCATGTGAAATTGCACCGATCCACGAGCATATTTTAAATAACACTTGTCGTATTCGTACTTCGTAAAAATTGTAAAAATTCACATATTTCGAGATTTTTCATCTATAACTTGTGGATATCTTACTCTTTGATTCCATTAGAATTCCAAAGAATTTTATCAGATCGATGAAATATCGAATATATTTCCGTTCTACTACTTCAAAAGTTATCAGAAATGTCGTAGAATGAAGAAAAGTAAAAAATTATTTATCGTACACAATTCGTTGCGATTACTATTCGTAGAAAGCTTCTAATTAAACTTCTAATTGAAAAGTATTTTGATTACATACAACGGACTTGACGTCAGAAAAGTGACTTGTTCGGGGTTATACTTTTCCATTTTGAACCAGTTCGTTCGCTGACGAAAGACGAAGGAACGAAAGAACGAGTACCTTGGGATCGGGGAACGGGTAACGAGCGACGAAAACTCGAGGAGAATTAGAAAGTCAGACCTTGAAAGGATTTCTAACGCCTCTCTTTTCTACACACAATCACCTGTGTTTACTTGTATGCTAATTCCCCTCGCGAGGTTCCCTGCTCGAGGCGGTTTTATCATCCATGATGGGTTTAATCGCAAATTCTCTCTCGTCGATAATTACTATCATTATTATTATTCGAAGATTGGTAATAGAAGAGTCGAACCAGCTATGAGTTGACATTTCTGAAGATAGATCGTTAGGTTTATTTAACGGCTCGATGAATTAGCAGCCGTAATAATAATAATAATAATAAAAAAAAAAAAAAAAAGAAGAAAGAAAAAGAAAAAAGAAATAATGATCGAACGAAACGGTTCGATATCCGCAACCGGGACAATCAAACAATCTTCCAAGTATCGTGTCGTAACCCAGTTTTGCATATCTGTTTCACAGGGCGGCTCGTTAAATCCTTCCTTCTCAATCGTTCCCTCGATCTCCTATAACGTCATACGAGCCGATTTAGACGTAGTTGACGTAGCAACGATTGCGAAAAAAGTTGGCAACAACGAACGTTCCAGAGGAGATAAAAGATCCGTGATAAATTTTCAATTTTTCTCGCGCGTTTCTCTCCTGAACGAAACCCAAGACAATCCGGATGGTTTTGCGGCTCTTTCTTGCACAATGATTTGCATATGCTTCCCTATTTCCCTTTTACTTTCGAGATAATCGAGGTCTTCGTGATTATCTCCAGATAGGGGCAATTAAAACGAACGAGTAGCTGGCTCTGTACCTCTCTTATCTTCCGTTCGTCGATCTCTTTTTACGTTTATTATTTCTTCCCTGTGTGGAAACTGGTCGAAACTGAAGATGTATAACGAAGGTAATGTTCTTAATAGAAAATAAATATTCGTTTAAATACTTTATAATTAACCGTGATAGCAATGAAAATAGACTTTTAATAATTTATTACTCGATTATGTTTGTGTTGAACGTGTATATATATATATATATTCGCTTTTCGTGGTGAAAGGATCAATAAATAGCGAAATATGTTAATTATCTTGCCTCCTGGAAATATCACGCTGGACGAATGAATTAAAATCGATATTGAAGCAATTTAGCCTTCGATTACGGAACACGGATGATTCGAAACAAAAAAAAAAAAAAGGAAGAAAGAAAGAAAAAAGGAGGTTTATCGTTCGTTGAACATCGTTGTGAAAGTAAACAATGGTAAAGGAAAGGGAAATTTTGATTCGCGGCGAGGTTTAAGAATCAGCGGATCGGGACGACACGATATGATTGATGCAACGACGATTATTATTCTCGAGCGTTGTATCCATTAACTTTACACGCAGCTAATAATTTTGTTGTTGCACAACGAGATGGACGTTTGATTTCCCGCGATAATCCCCTCCCCCCCTCCCTCCCCCGTGATTCGAACGAACGTTCCGTTCGATTTACGCCACCTTCGAAGCAACCTTTCTAAACATCCCCCCCCCCTCCCGTTGTTTCAACCGATTTCTAAAAAATTACCAAAGTTGAACAAAAAACAAAAAGAGAATTCGCTTTAATTTCATTTGAAAATATTTCTCTTCTATCTCTTCTCCCCCTTTTTTCTTTATTTTTTTTTTTTTTTTTTTTCACTTCGCGCGTCATCTCGATGAGAAAACCGAGGCGGGATTATTACTCGCTCGAACGGTAGCAAGTTTCGATGTTTGCGAACGTTGGAGGGCCTCCTGGAGGTGAAAAAAATCTAGGAAAGATCTAGGACGAGACAGGTGGAGAACGGTTTCGAGGAACATCAGTAACGCTTGCTGCTTAGTCACGAACACCGTTTCTCCATCAATGTTCGCCGTATTGTGTTGCTCGTCGAGGGAATAGTAATATAAGCGAACCGCTAATACTCTATGTAACAGTGGGTTAAGCGAAAAAGAAATTAATATGAAAAATAATCGAATACACAATTATGATCTAATCTTTAAGTCCCCTTTTACGAGCTATTGTCGAACGCTTATGACTGTCAATAAACTCTTATTGTACCAAGCGATTTCCGTTTTGCGCTGGATTTATTCCGTTTTCGAGATGCGAGAAAACGGAATAATCGACGAAAATTTTCGTTCGGAAATTGGAGAGAGAGGAACGGCGATAAGCAACGAGGACGTTGAAAGGGCCCCGTTTTCGTCTTTCCACCAACTTTGCGCGAAAAATTTCATCGATGACTCGGCTTTCTTTCGGACAACGTTTAATGATCCGGAAACGAGACGCGAGTAAACCATCCGAGAAACCAATTTCAATGGATCTGAAATCAGAAGCCTAGTTTCTAGCTCACTCAACCCGTCAATTATCTCCTCGTTCCTCATTTAATTGTCGCGAACTGGTCACCGCACGAAAATCGAGAAATTGTGCCACAACACACGCCAGAAATTAATAATCCACTTGGTAAGTTGAAGTTTCACACGTGTCGAAACAACATTTAACTTTTCAGCATTCCCAAAATAAATCCAACATCGAATTTCCATCTTAATCATCGATCACCCGTTGCATCCGTCTAACGTAATCAGAAAAGAGTGATTTCATCGAATCACGACGATTCGAATTTTCACGAATAATTCATTATCGTGCAAATTGTCAACCAACGAACGAAGCTTTTTTCCCCCAACTTTCGATAGCGAAACGAATTAATTAATTCGATACCGTGAAAACGGAAATATTCTCTACAGAGGATGCTGTACAACCACGAAAAAAAAAAAAAAATAAATAAAGATTAAGATTAATTCACGAAGGAAACAGCGAAGGTCTTCGATCAAGCATCCTCGAGGACTATCCAACGAGCCGTGTCTCGATGAAAATCGTTTTACAAAGAATCTTCTGGCGCAATCGTTAGAAACGTCCAAGCGTCGTTGGGACGAAAAAATTAATTCCTTCGTCGTCAATGTTATCTCTTCGAGTTTGTTACAACGCGAGTGAAACATCGAGCCTCCTACATTTTTCACGCAAAAGACGATGAGAAACGACGATTTTCGGGCGCGTTTCGGAATAAATGGCGGAACAAGATGTTTTCACTCTTGACGAGGAACCGGTCGAGACGAGGAAGCCTCCTTCCTTGTCCTTTCTCTCGGATGGATCGTCGAGGATAAACGTTGATCATTGTTAAGAGCGTCAGAATGCAGAGGATATGCGGCGAATTCCGGTGAAACCAGTCCCCAGTGTCGCGGATCTGGGTTGCGACATACTTTTTCAACGCCAGGCCGTTTCAGGATATCGAAGATACGAGACGAGGCTTAATAGTATCGTGGACAGTCTCGCGGGGTTTCTTTCGCAGGAATGGAACTTTCGAAACGCGTGTTTTCACCGCTCGAAATTCACACTGTCGTAATTTTGCTTAAGAAGCTTAAAGCGAGAAAAATAATAAGGAGTCGATAAAAATTTAAAAAAAAAAGAACCTGTAACTTTTTGAAAAGAAACCAACGTCGAAGATCCGATAATTAACGCTCTCGTTTATCTGCGTGGAATATCCCAATATATAAAACAAATATTTCGGATCCGTAAGTTAATTATAATAACGTTCGAGGAATTAGGAAAGAATATTTTGCATATCAAAAGAAACAAATCTGTTACGAAGAGGAAAACAGGTGATAATTCATAATTCATAACTCACGAATTCAACTCGGGAAAAACAATTACTCGCGAGTAGATAATTGTATGTATGGAGGATTTGAGGAACTGGTTTGCCCACAAATCGCGGAAGGGAAAAAAGAAAGAAAGAAAGAAAGAAAGAAAGAAAGAGACGAAACTGGAACGCAGAAAGAGCAATTTAATAAGTCACTTGCATCCAACGAGTTCTTATCGAGCCGCCGGCCCAACCGGTATCGGAGAATACTTTTTCTAAACCAGAGGCCTTTCCACCGATAGATCACGTAATAGTTCAAACGATGCTCCCCCTCGGGCGTTAAGAAGTTTACTATGTAACTCGCGCGTATTGGTCACGGTTCAACCATTCTCCTCTTTCGTGGACAAATTCGAAAGTCCTTGCGGCCTATATAAATAGCAATAAAAATCACCCAGGATGCGTTTTTAATAATTTATCATGCATCCTTGCAAAAACATTGATTGAGAATTAATAGCAATGTCTTACGATCGATTTTCTCGCTAAAATTTTATTCGAATGAAATAGGTGTTTGAAATTACATTTAGTATATAGGTAACAAAAAACTTGACAAGTTTGTGAAATGGTGAAAAGTATAATATAATCCGTAAAATATTTGTGATTAATAATGAATAGGTAAATTGGTTCAACCGAT